ATATGTTTTTTCACCTTTCCGAAACCTTCCGCTAGATGGTAAGCCGGGATGTATCAATTTTGAGTAAATTAGCGTCCTTCAATTTCGAAATATTGAAGTTTCAAGCATTTCTGAAATTTACCGTTATATGAGAAGCGGCCGTTATTTTAGTTCGATTTCAATAATTTTCAACGTTTTGCTTATATGTGGCAAGCACAATAACCACACCGAGTTTGGTACAAATAAGTAGAACGGTTACCGATATACATATATGTGATCATAAGTGGGCGGTGCCACGCCCATTTTCCAAAATTTTACCATAAACGTATTTCTTGGTAAAGAATTGTTGCAAGTATTAATTTTGAATAAATTAGCTTCAATATTTACTGATTTATCGAAGATTTTGTATTTCTCTAAATTACCGTTATATGGGATGTGGGCGTGGTTATTGTCCGATTTTAAAAAGTTTCGGCGATTTTTTATGCTGTACCAAGGCCAACAACTGTGCCAAGTTTGGAAGAAATTGGTGCAGCGCTTACCAAGATATACACATGTAACCATAAGTGGGCGTGGCTACGCCCATTTTCCAAAAATTTTTAATATTCTTTGTTTTCGTCTAAAAATTATTGTAAATATCAATTTTGAGTGAACTATCTCCAGTAGTTACTAAAATATCGCAGTTTTCGTATTTCTGAAAATTACCGTTATATGGGAAGTAGGCGTGGTTATTGAGCGATTTTAGAAATTTTCGGCCATTTGGTATGCTGTGGGAAGGTCAACAACTGTGTTAAGTTTGGAAGAAATTGGTGCAGCGGTTACCAAGATATACACATGTAACCATAAGTGGGCGTGGCTACGCCCATTTTCCAAAAATTTATAATATTCTTATTTTCCGTCTAAAAATTATTGTAAATATCAATTTTGAGAGACTTATCTTCAGTAGTTACTAAAATATCGCAGTTTTCGTATTTCTGGAAATTACCGTTATATGGGAAGTGGGCGTGGTTAAAGTCCGATTTCGCCCATTTTCAATACCAACCTACCTTGGATTAAGGGAAATCTACGTACCAAATTTCGTTGAGATATCTCAATTTTTGCTCGAGTTATCGTGTACACGGACGGACGGACAGACGGACAGACGGACGGACAGACAGACATGGCTTAATCGATTTCTTTTTTTCATCCTGATCATTTATGTATACATTTGTCTATATCTATCTCGATTCGTTTTGGCTGTTACAAACAACCGTTATGTGAACAAAATTAATATACCCTTGTGCACAAGTGCGCTCGGGTATAAAAATTAGGTATCGCGCTGACGGCATTCGTATTACTAAAAGCCAACAAATAACAGCAAGCACATCTGCTCGTTCAGCCACTGCCATAGTACATAAGAATTTGTTTTCAAATGTTCAACTTGAATCACATTTCTTGCAATCGGCTTATTAACCATGAAAAAATCAAACCATAACTTGGTTGAAAAAATCATTGTGCTTTTGGCTCAATGTTACGAACAGAGCTGGGCGATAAGGATTACGATTACTAAACGATTAGGATTGCAGTAATCCCAACAAGCTAAAAAAACAAGATTACGAGTACAGTAATCCTTCATCGAACGAACTTAGATTACGATTACAGTAATCGTAATTTTAACTTTTTTAAACTGTGATCGTAATTCAAGTTGGATCCATGAACGATTACTTTAATTGTAATCCTGCATTATTTTATTTGCCGGTTATACAAAGTTTATTTCGCCCAAACTACTTTACTTATTATTCTTAATTTAATATTAGATTCTTTTATTTTTCTGTTTTGGTTTTGATAAATACATATTATGGTTAAGCGCGCATTTATATTTTGCAAATTTATAGAAATACTTCGTTTAAGTTTACTCAAAAGATTGCAATTAAAAAATTTTAAATTTAAAATTGTTATAATCATTCATCGAACGAACTTTGATTACGATTACAGTAATTGTAATTTTAACAAAGGTTTAAATTACGATTACTGTAATCACAATCTAAGATACCTTCGAAGAACGATTACCGCAATCCCAATTCAATAATTTTTGAAATCGCTATTAAAGTAATTGTAATCCTAGATGCAATCGATTAAACATGTAATCCTTATCGCCCAGCTCTGGTTATGAAAGGGTTTTAAATATGTACATATTTATGTATGTACAAACATAAACATATTCGTGAAAGTTCATTTAAAAAAATAAATAAATAGGAAAATTAGATCAACGTTACGATGGCCATATTTTTCATATATGTACTTTTTATCAAAATACTCAAGAAAACACTTTAACACTTTTGTAGATTTTTGACAAATTTCTACACTTGTTTGAGCTTTCCATTGGACATTTTAGACACGTTAAATTTTCATCATTATCACAGGTTTACTAAGAGTTATTTAAAATTAGGTGATAAGCACGTGCGCTTAACAGTTCTCAAGATATTAATACGATCTAGTGGTAGGTTTGTACTCCAAAATTTTATGGGGAAAGCGCGCATCACTGAACATTACCCAAGCGTTTTACTCTTACTGGATGTGTCGTGGGATTTTCATTCATTCCAGAATTTGGCGTACTGTGAAAATCAGGTCAATGGTGGATTCGCCAGGTCTAGAGCCACACTAATAAGGTTCATTCAAATAGTTTATGAATGTTTCAGTCTTTCGGGCCGATTTGTCGAGAGGACCTTATATGTAGTACTAAGAACGCGTATTATGCTGTAATTGGTACAAATAAAAACATTACTCTTCTTCTGAACTGATATGGAATAATAAGCTGAAATTTTAGATTTTTAGATTTTTGATTTTTTTGACGCCATATCCCAAGTATTCTTTGAACGCCTGTTACCAGATTTCCGTCTTCGCCTTAGCGCGAAGAACCAGCCCAGTCAGCATCTTAAGTTCTTCACACTTAAGTCATCCTGCCTTTATTTTCTTCCTCTTGAAAATCCTTTCCCTTTCCCGGAGTTTAAATTGCAGGTATTATGACCCGTATAACCTCTTAGTTGGTCTCCAACATCAAGCAAATCGCATTTCCACAAAGGGATCTGATCTCGATGTTAAGACGCTACTGTGGCATACACCCTGACGAAAGGGTTAAACCTAATATTGACCAAAAAATCTTCAATATCTTTCTGAACTATAGAGCGGAGATATTGATTTTCAGTACTTTAATAGGCCATGTGTAGGGTAGGTATGTCAGCTAGAAACGTATGGTCCTCAGGTCTAGAGGATGCAGACACTTCTATACGCATTGGTAGCAGTTACCTTACGTTCTGCAGCATCAGATTACATATAATGTAGGTAATGTGGAGAGCCCCTAGACCTTACCTATCCGGAAGTAATTCCTCGAGGGTTGCCTATCTTGCGGGCTCATCAGCCATACATTTGTCAGCGATTTTGCTGTGACCTGAAGCCCAAGCTTAATAGCGAAATAATCAGACGCGGTATTTAGGGAAGTCAAACACTCCCTCACCGTCTTCGAACGCTGCTTGGCTATCAGAATAAATATTCACTCTCTTAAAGGATGTCGCACTAGAGAGCAACCAATCCGAAGCCTCTTTTATCGCGGCCACCTCAGCCTAGAAAACGCTGCAGTGATTCGGTAACCTAAATTTCAGGTTGATGGAGAGTTCTTCGCAGAAGACACCTCCACACACCTTCCCATTCAGCTTTGTTCCATCTGTTAATAAGTTTACAGGACCTCGATTCCAGATACTGCATCCCTCCCAGTATCCTCTCGCTGGAATGCGGGTGGTAAAAGATCCATTCGGGCCCAGAACCGGCGTGCAGTGGTCTGTCCGAGTCGGTAGGAACCCGAGGTACAATATTTAACTAAGCGTAAGGTGTGGTTCGAAGTGCCCCACTGATTCCAAATTAAGGCGGATCTTTGCACCTTCTCCACGTTAGGCTTCCAGGAAAGTTTACTCTTAAGTCCAAGTAATTCACTACCCATTTAGGGAAGACGACAATTCGGTATCTTATACCTCCTAGCAAAAAGAACAAGCTCCGTTTTGCTGGGATTTGCACCCATCCCTCAGCTAGAAGCTCAGTTCACAACCAGGCTCAGGTAACCCCGCATAAGCTCAAACAGTATTTCCAACCTCCAATATTAAATAAAAAAGGTAAACAACAATTGGGTACCGCTGAAAGTTTCCTGAAGAGAAACTAAGTCTACCGATAATAAAAATTAACTAGTTCACTGCTGAAACTGCTTTCTAATGTCCAAGTAATTCGCCGGCCGCTATGGTGTACTGGCTAGCGGTGCGCGCCATCGCTCCGCAGCGCCTGGGTTCAAGCCCTAGTCAAAGCAACATCGGAAAAAAATATAGAAAGTTTTTTATTAACAGCGGTCGCCCCTCAGCAGGCAATGGCAAACCTCCGAGTGTATTTCTGTCATGTCTCATAAAAATACAATCGCCGTTCGGAGTCGGCGGTCCCTCCCATTTGTGTGACAACATCAAGGCGCACGTCACAAATCCAAGGAGAAGCTCGGCCAAATATTAACATATGTGTAAGCGCCAATCTATTATTTTTAATTGGAATTGTTAGTGAAGTGATGATAAGCAGAAATTTCAACTGAAGATAAAACTCAAAACATTATTCTCTGTGTTATATGCTGCGAACAGGAACGGAAACTTTTGTTTGTTCTATGCAAACATTAAGGTTTGCCACCAATGTTTTCAACATATTAAAAGGCATGCAGATAAAATTCATACTAAAGCGCTATGTCCAATTTGCCCGCATAAGCAATGAGAAATAAGGCAAAATTTGTTTTAGTTACAACCTTTGTTTGAAATAAAGAAAAACCCAGATTTTGGCATTATTTCCCATTTAAAAGTGAAATAAAGCAAATTTTGCGTTATTGCCGTCCAAGACCTCCCCCCTGAGACGCTGAAACTGAGACGCTGTATTACTGAATAAATTCAATTTATCTTTGCGTACTATCTGTTAAATACTATTTATGTATCTATTAATTTTACTTTCTTTGTGTTTTCTTTCCACAGCCCGAAACTGTGCCACAGGCCTGCATCGACATGACCAAAGTACTCGAAGTCGCCATGGCTGAGGATGTTACGGGCCATACCAATTCGATTGCTATCACCGCCCCGGATCGGGTTACATTTGTGAAGGGCACATGTCCTGAAGAGTCCAAGTGGTGGCTCAACATATTGATCGCATTTCCCAAATCCAAAGGGCGCCATAAACGCAATGCCACATTTCCAGGCGGTCAGGCGACTACAACGATTTTGCAGCAAATGAACACAGACGCTTATAGTGCTGCTGCAGGCGTGCCGGCACGCAATCGCCATAATTCATACCACAAGGATGCATTGACGTCCGTGCAATCGACCAGCGTGCTAATTGGCAGTGGCGGCAACAATGTAGCGCAACGCAAAGCCAACACCGTGACGACGACAAAGACGGCGGCGTCATCATCGTCGACGACGCGCACCATTGACTATCGCAATGTTGCCGTTGAGGATGAGGACGATGATGCGGAAGACGAAGACGAAGACGAAGAAGTTGATGATGACGATGATGAAGATGATGGCGTCGAAACAGGCGAGGACGAAGAAGAAGATGAGAACGATGGTGTTCAAGTTAGTGTGCGTGTTGCTGATGAAGTGGACAGTGCCAAAAAGGAAACGCAGCAGGATGACAAAGGTCGCAGTGATAGTAAGGAGACCAACAGCAAAGGTATGTTTGTTGCTCGAGACATCAATTTACATACATACATACATGTGTATTATAAGATGAAAATAAGCTCTTCACTTATCGAATACATAAAAAACCCGATCGCCCGCAAGCCGGCTAGTTCTTTTCATTACTTATTTTTAAAACAACACATTTTGTTGTTGTAGTTCTGATCCTCCGCCACAGAGCTAGTTAGCTCGAGTTAGCTAGAGTATCACAAAAATGGAGTAGACCACAAGTTGCAACCTATAATTTAGATCATGTGTACATTTCACGTCATGGATGAAGATTCATATGTATGTTTGAGAAATTCACATGAATTCAAATATCCTGCAGCTATGGCAACATTAATGGTTGTTTATATTTGATTTTTGCTGCATTCAGCGGTGGAAGTCTAGGTTCGTTCATAATATTAGAGCAGCACTTAATTGACTTCAGACTTTTGCTACGAACAAGAAAGCCTCATACAAGTGTAAATTGATCAGATAGTGAAAATAGAGGTGATGAACCAAATAGATGACACATATATATATATGTATATGTATACAGAGTCAAATATAGAGGCAGTTACATACGTATGCGGTGGCAAAGATAAAGTTATCGAAAGGCACAAAACTAAGATGTATTGAAAGTCAAAGACGAAAAGTCGAAATATGTACGCATATATCTATGTATGTACATTAGGGCGGGTAAATTTTATTTACTATGCACATTTAACATAAAAGTTTGTACGTATAATTCTAAGCAAATTTTCCGAAGAAACCATGGGTCTAAGATCAATTTGGAATTTGCCAAATGGAGAAAATAGGTTTAGAACAAAATGTGAAAATTAACACTTTTGCGTCCTATAGTGGAAGTTTTAAGAAAAAGATAAGTGCAGAAATGGATTCCTCATACCAAAAAATCCCTTATAGCATGTTCTTATGTTTTAAGAACTTCTTTTACGACACTACAGCAAAATGCTAGAAACTTATTTTCGCAATTTGGTAAACTCTGAATTGATTTTAGACCCATGGTGTCTTCGATAAATTTGCTTAGAATTACATAGTCGAAAAATCTCCCATACAAATTGACCTGTTCTAATGTAAATACATACATACATACATAGTGATAACACAACCGAATTCATTGTTCATATAAAAATTTAAGCGTACCTTTTTTGAAGTCGGTTGAAAAGGGAAACAAATAAAATAGACAGCTAAAAAGTGTTCGTAAGGATTCTTTTTACCAGCTGGAATTAAGAGAATTATAATTTTATACGATCGTGGGCTCTGTTGTCATTCAGCCTCGGCTTGATTTTGTTCTGAAGTCCATCATTTGATTTCCAACTCGAGGAAATTTGGCTTATACTAGATAAGTATCAGTTACTGCCTTAAAATCCAGTCCTGAGCATATCCGCTACCGGGCGACCTATTTCATAGCTGTAACTTATGTTAAAATACACTAATAAGAAATATTAAGTGGCCAAGTCTTCCCTCTCCCTTCTTTGGGAGCTACTTATAAAGTTCTCTCGAGGGCACTGCTCCAGACTACCATCTACGTGAAGAGTGGAAAGACAAGTCTATTGAGCAAATAGGCTTTAGTAGCATCGCGCTCGTACCAAATGCAGCATTGTACACCAAAGGGTGCCCAGGATAACATCAACCATACGTGCGCCATGTTTATCCGTTTAACTATGCCTTTCCGTCTCATCAATACCCGTCACAAAGCGCAAATGCGACTTCAAAGATTTCTTATCTTTCTTCGGCATCGCACACGTGTCTTCCCTATTTCAAAGGCCAGGGATGTTGACATATTTGGCTGTAGTATAATCTGCGTTGGGCTTTTTCTATATAAGAAAAGCGATACCACAGCGATTCAGATGGTTAGAATGGTTTCCAATGCCTGAACAATCATATAGCAAAAACGACTTGTTGTAGAAATTCTGTCAATATTGCCTTTGCAAGTCTGGAAGCCGCATTAATGAAGCCCAATCAGCCTGCTGATGATTGGCAAAATTAGCCGAATCTTTGTTCTGGTATATTAAGCAAAGTAAACTGTAATTGCAAACCATCCCTACCGAACTTCCGCTTCCTGCTTTGAAATTCTCTGGTGGTAATCCGTTTATTTCAGTCATGGACATGAACTTCATCCCTCAACATTAGTCTTGATTCACCACCACACTCCCGCCAGTGCTTCAATTCAAGAGCATTGGGAAGTGCTCTTATCGTTTCTCAAATGCACCCTCGCCCTCTCCAATCAGACCTCCCTCCTGCATTGCTGCCAGCGTTTTAAAGTTTTCGAGGTCTTTCTTATCCTTTTTTCTTCTTCATTGAAACGTCTCCCTTTCAGCTCACGGTATCACTACGGCTTTATCTACATAAAGCCTTCTTTTCTGTAACACAAACAGGCCGATACCGTAAATTGGAAAAGCTTAGGACACTGGCCGACAGGAAACATTTCTGAATTCTATTCGAAATTCAAACTACGTGCGGACGGTTCCAAGACTAGGGCAAATTCCTGTACGAAGGAACACGGTAATCTAGTGACCGATGTCCAGAGCGTGCTTAAATTATGGAGGCAACACTTATCAGTACTACCTATATGAAACCCGTAGAGAAGAGAAATCCGAGCCTCCAGTCGAAAGCGACGGCTTCGTTGTAGGACGTCCTGACTATGACGGGGTAGGAATAGCAATTTCACGGCCTAATACAACAAAGCTGCGGGAGTGGAGTTCATGCCTGTTGAGCTAATCGCGAATTGCGTTGCACCAACTTTTATGCAGAATGTGGTCAGAGGAATGCATTTAATTGTGCTCTATCTAATTCACAAGAAAGGCGACCTTACCACATGCGCTAGCGACCGAGCTTACTGGGGATCTGCTATAGGGTCCCGTCGTGAACATTGTAGGAAAGGCCAAAGCGTGAGAATACACACCACCTCTTTGTAAATTTTAATACAGCCCCCGATAGCACGAAAACGTGTTGCATTTACACTGCAACGCCTGAATTTAGTTTATCTGCGAAACTAATACGGCTGTGAAAATGACGTTGAGCAATACCACCAGCTTAGCCAGAAATGAGAATTATCTCTCCGAGTCGTTTTATACCATCTGTATCCTCATGAAAGTGCGACTCCTCATGATAGGGGACCTTTAATCCGATGCTGGAAAAGATAGTAAGGACTGAGAAGGTTCGCTCCCGATTGATACCAAGCGAGGTTTCAGACAGGGCGACTCCTTATCATGCGACATCTTTAATTAGATTCTAGACACCATAATAAGAGCTGCAGAACTGAATCTCTCTGGAAAATGTTCAATAAGAACATGAACGAAGTGTGTGCCGCTGAAATCGACATCTTCTTTTTCTTCTTATTTGGCGCTGTAACCGAGCTCAACAAAGCAGGCCAGTTTCTCTTCTATGCCAACTGGCGCCGATTGCAAATGCCAAGTGAAGCCAAGTCGTTCTCCACTTGGTCTTTCCATCGCAGTGGGGGCCTCCCTCTTCCTCTGCTACCACCAGCGGGCTCCGAGTTGAATGCTTTCAGAGCTAGAGCGTCGGTAACCATTTGAAGGGCATGGCCAATGGCGGAGCCACTGTATGTTAAATCGACATCATCGATCTCAATGATCACCGCATTTGTAGGTTCTGCCTTTTCCAAGTTGAGGATAATTACTCTTGCCAACATATACTATATTGGATTCGAGCAAACGATTCTGCCTCTGTGCCTGGGTGAAGGCGAATACCGCAGAGGTTGGAGCGAGGAGCTGTATGAGCTTTACAACGATGTAGACATAATACGGCGAGTTAAAATATACCGGCTCTGCTCTCTCGATTATGTCGTACAAATGGATACAAAAGCTCCAGTTCTCAAAGTATTCAACGCAGTATCCGCTGATGACAGAAGATGAAAAAGAAGGCCTCCTCTACGATGGTACAGAAGAAAAACGATTGGTGCGAGCTTTATTGGACTCTGCGTAAATCGCTGAAGTGGTTACAGCGCCAAAGCAGAAGAAGCAGAAGAAGAACAGGCTTGAAATGCATAGTGGTGTTGAATAAACACTATCAATCCAATTTGTTTTTCAAAACTAGTAGCTGCTGTTTTCTACAGAATCGTTAAAGAGTATTTTATGTTGAATTCCTGCTAAATATGTTTGACCAACTTATTAATCGCACCACGACTGGCAAATCAGTGGACAAACACAAGCATCTAAAGTGAAAAATAAAACCGGTAATTACGGCCCTAAATTAAAATACATGCATATGCATACATGCGTAGACCCTCATGCATGCATATAACGGGTGATTTTTTTGAGGTTAGGATTTTCATGCATTAGTATTTGACAGATCACGTGGGATTTCAGACATGGTGTCAAAGAGAAAGATGCTCAGTATGCTTTGAAATTTCATCATGAATAGACTTACTAACGAGCAACGCTTGCAAATCATTGAATTTTATTACCAAAATCAGTGTTCGGTTCGAAATGTGTTTCGCGCTTTACGTCCGATTTATGGTCTACATAATCGACCAAGTGAGCAAACAATTAATGCGATTGTGACCAAGTTTCGCACTCAGTTTACTTTATTGGACATTAAACCAACCACACGAATGCGTACAGTGCGTACAGAAGAGAATATTGCGTCTGTTTCTGAGAGTGTTGCTGAAGACCGTGAAATGTCGATTCGTCGCCGTTCGCAGCAATTGGGTTTGTGTTATTCGACCACATGGAAGATTTTACGCAAAGATCTTGGTGTAAAACCGTATAAAATACAGCTCGTGCAAGAACTGAAGCCGAACGATCTGCCACAACGTCGAATTTTCAGTGAATGGGCCCTAGAAAAGTTGGCAGAAAATCCGCTTTTTTATCGACAAATTTTGTTCAGCGATGAGGCTCATTTCTGGTTGAATGGCTTCGTAAATAAGCAAAATTGCCGCATTTGGAGTGAAGAGCAACCAGAAGCCGTTCAAGAACTGCCCATGCATCCCGAAAAATGCACTGTTTGGTGTGGTTTGTACGCTGGTGG